GTGCATGTTACCACAATACAAATATTTTTTGAAGTATTTAAAGTCACCACTTTTGATTGAAATTCTTATATCAAAGAGGTTTTTGATATTCAATTCGATCCTTTTATAAGCCATAAAAAACAAAAGGCCATCAGTTTGTAACCAGTCGCTCAGAGCCTTCATTTCTGTCATCAACATATTGACAAAATAAACAATACCAACAAATATCGGATTTGTGAAAGACACTACTCCTAGTTCAGTGTCATTTGGTAGATTTTTGGAGATGTTTTGTTCAACACCAGACAACGGAATGAAGTTAACAAATTCTTTATAATATTCAAACACCCAATTTGATACTAAAACGTTGTAAAGAAATCTTGTTTCACTGAGACGGCTCACTTTGTTCATCACACCTTTCAAGTCATAATGTGTGATATACCGTATCAATGCATTGCGGTTTTGTTCTTTGGGAATTTCGTTTAAATACTTGTCTATTATGTATCCAAAACCACTTTCGAAGGCTATTGTATTCGAAACATTCAATCTATGGTCACAACAATAATTATCCAGATAGCATTCTACTACACCTCCATCTCTTTCGATTATTTCAGTTAGTCTTCCTGCAACTCCATTATCATTACTATTCAATGTCATATAACCATCACTACAAAAAATACAATTTTGAAAAGTTGGAATTGTAAACATTACATATTGTGTTTTCAATCCATTTCGTCCAATTTACAGCGTTTGTTGTTTTATAATAGCGACAAATATTCAACCGCTTTTCTTCAAAAGATAAATCTTTATACACATATCTGGCATAGAGAGAGGAAGTGGTTTCCGTATGTAGATGAATCTGTTGAGATACCATATCCAACACATTTATCAAAATTGTTGGTGATTTCTTCCTTTTCTACAATTGGAATTAGCTCAGCTCTTCGTGTGATGGTTTCATAAGAAATAGATAGCCCTTTCCCACCATTATCCGCTAAAAGTTTCAAAGCAACTAATAGCACAGACCTCATTCAATTAATTTGTGTTTCGGTCATAGAAGTGGCTTTTGAAATAATAGCAAACAAAATAGTTATATATTCATTTATCGAATTTAATTTGTGATCCGAAAAACTTCCTTTGGCATTTCTCTGTATTTCAAAAGCTTCAAGTACCGATTTTTCCAATATTGTTGCACTTATTGTTTCAACATCAAAATTTCGATTATAACTTTTGATACAATTTCGAAGAATTTTGATCTTTTCGATTGAAGATATTTGTTTTGGAGTTAACTTATTCACAGTGTTTAATGGTTCTGTGTTATTGTTTTATAAAGGTGGCACTTCTGGTATTTGAATTTGTGTTGGATTAAACGTTTCTTGTATTATTTCTTTCCATTTCAACATCATTACAAACAACTATATGAATTTCTGATTGTATTTCATTTCTCAATGAAAAATTAAGATCATTGTCATTACATTCAAATGTGTTTTCTGTTAACACTTCGTTTGAATTGGGAAAATATGCATAATTAAGTTAATGTTGAACATCGCCGTTTATTTCACGAACATATTTCAATACATTTGGATCCATTGAGTTAAGGATAAAGTCTCTTATATCGGAAAGTTCGTGTGGTGTTGTCGGACAGTGACGTTTTATTGTGTAAATATCGTCCAAATAATTATCAATTATTATAGCATCAGAATTGTATTTGGAAAAGTCTAAAGCATAAGTTGAAAGACAATTAATACGATGGAAATTTAAATTAAATATATTTTCAAGTCTATCCTTGTTTGTGTTTATGTCATAACCAAGTTCAAACAATCTTTTTTGGTGTTTATCAATAAAATGGTCACATATTCTTTCGTATCCTACAATCTTGTTGCACAAAATACAGTACCAACTGTTTTTTAATTCATTCTCTTGGCACTCTTGAATATGAAGTTTAAATATCATATATGATGAAAACATTTCTTTTCGATTGTTTATGCGCTTTTGTTCGTTCATTTGTTTTGGGTTAATAAAGATGAAATTCCTAATTATTATTCATATTGATATATTTTACTTTATTATATTATAATAAAACATATTTAATTTAAATAAAAATATGATTATATTATATTATATTATATTATATTATATTATATTATATTATATTATATTATATTATATTATATTATATTATATTATATTATATTATATTATATTATATTATATTATATTATATTATATTATATTATATTATATTATATTATATTATATTATATTATATTATATTATATTATATTATATTATATTATATTATATTATATTATATTATATTATATTATATTATATTATATTATATTATATTATATTATATTATATTATATTATATTATATTATATTATATTATATTATATTATATTATATTATATTATATTATATTATATTATATTATATTATATTATATTATATTATATTATATTATATTATATTATATTATATTATATTATATTATATTATATTATATTATATTATATTATATTATATTATATTATATTATATTATATTATATTATATTATATTATATTATATTATATTATATTATATTATATTATATGATTAGATATATATTAAATATATTTATT